AAACACAAGAAGAACAGCGACAATGCGAGACGCGGGACGAAAGAAAGGCGGGAGAAAGAAGCGAGTCGCGGTAATGAAAAGGCGGATTCGAAATGAAAGTCGTCGTCGGCGCGTGCGACGAAAAAATACGCGACACGAAGGGTTGATCGACGCTTTCTCCTCTCTCTTCTCTCGCCTCCGGTGACGCGCACTCGAAACGTTTACCCTTTACTCAGGCTGCCATCCTTTCCCCTTGCCGAGACTGTGCGCTGCAGGTAACGAAGACCGTGTCGCCGTAGTGTTTGTGTTAGTCGGAGGAATGTAACCGGGGCGGGAAGAACGGAGAGAAAGGACGGCACGCCGGAGAACCGTGATCGATATAGCCCGCTCCCGATTGAGAAATAGAAAACTTCTTTTTCTCTGCGCTGATAACACGCGAACGTTTATTAAAGATTTATCGACAGACAGTTATGCATCGCAAACCCATTGACACGAAATGAATTAAAATAAATCGCGACAGATGAGAAAACTTTGTTTGACTGACTTGTGTCAAGCGGAGTATCGGCGATGCAATCAACAGTTGATTTAATCGGTAGAGTTTGCATACATCCAAATTTCCACATAGATTGCTCGCGAAAATTCGGTGTATCGTGTATTTTTATCATATTTTTTCGCTGAGTTTTTATTAACTAGTTTTCTGTAAAGATTTTGTATACATTATAATACATTCTATATGTTCTTTCTCCATAAAAATGTATGTGTCAGCAAAAATTTCTGACAGGACAGACTCCTGTTAGTTGTTTGAAAAATCCTGTGCATGTGTTTCATATCTGCATCATTCATTATTTACATTGTTTACAATGTGAATATCGATTGATAAAACACGTACGAGCGCATACAAAAGCATACTTAATAAGCAATAAAAACTATCTCGGGCGGGGTAAAACACGAGCAATAATAGTGTATATACATATATATGCAAGGGAAAAACGCGTTGAAAACTCGACTCGCTCTTACAGAAAGTTCTTCTGCTTCATCTTTATTTTTCTTACGGCTCAAGGGAATATCCCGGGGCAAGATATCGCATTTTATCCAACGCAGCTGGATCGCAGATTCAAAACTTTCCATATCGCATTACGTGTGTGTGTGTGTGTACATATATGTGTATATATATATACATACACATATATATACATATATACATTGAGCACAAAACATGTTCTCGGCGATGTTACTCTAAAGCAAAATCCACATTAGCGAACCGAATTTCCGGACCGAATTTCGCAATAGCATTTTGATGTTACACGACTCAAAGTTTGTGCAGCTCGCCATCAAAAGGCATTGTTTCATCCGCGGTAATGTTGCCACACACAATATTGCACAGAAAAAAGCTAGCGTTCTAATTTTTTAAAAACAACAAACTGCTCGAAACTAACTTCTCTTCGTCTCGACATAATATGCGAAGCACGCGATCAATTTGCGACGCAGAGTTCAACCAGAATTCGATTCGCTAATGTTGAAGCTTGCTCACCGTGCGCAGAGAAGTGAACTCCGGTACGGATTAAATATTTCATTAAGTACACGTTGTGTGTACATCGATATCCACCGACGACGTATACATGCATAATGCGGACAAGCACGATTCGGGCGCGACGGCTCTCTTTCCATATCTGCATCTAGCAATCTCCGAACAAAATTTGCCTGGCGCCGTCGGCCGCAGCACACAGGTGAACGTAGTGCGGCTAGCGCGCCGGGTGACCCTCACTCTCCTACCGCCACCCTCGATGCCCTCAGGCGCCGGTATCGATTATGAAATTGCACCGGATAAAGCAAACGAGAGACCGCAACGAGAGAAGGTCGGTGCTTCCCTCGCGCTCTCATGCGCGCGTATCGCCGCTCGCCGTTGATTACCCTTCCGATTATATCGGCCGATGCTCTATCCCTCTAGACACGCACGCACGCGAGAACATAGCGCGCCACCGCTTGCCACTTTACGTGGAATGTGTGTATGTATTTCTCGTGTTCATCCCCGTATTGTGTCGCGTTATACCCGTCTCTTCGTCTCTCTTATCGGGAGGAGGATTCATGCCTCCCTCTCACGCTATATGTCTCTATCAATGCGATGTAGTTACGCCACTAAACTGCAATATGCTCTCTCATATGCATTGTGTCACGCTATAATTCCCGATAGCCGCCAAAGCCTGCGGAAGCAGGCATCATCGCATTATCTCGTCGTTAGTAATTGATCAGTCGCGAAGGAATCGAAGGAGAAGATAACGCGGAGGAAGCAGCTTCCGCCACCTTCTCTCTCGAAACCTCATTCTCTTACTTTTCTTCCTCCTCTTTTTCTTCGTTTCCCTTCCTTCAAGACAGAGAACACATTTGGCTTAAGCTTTCTCTCATCGCGTGCTAAGATTCCGAGTCGTCCGATTCTTATATAACGGTTTTAGCCCGGCCATTACCGTTTAACGAATGCATACCTATCATGAATGAAGTAAATTTCGCGATACACCGTGTCTCTCGTCCGATAGCGAATTCGTTAAACTTTTCAGGCCCGCTTATCTCGGCGCATTTTCACGGAACATGAGATTTCGCACATCGCGCGCGCGCGCGCTGTAAAACTTGTGAATAGATATAAAACTATATCCATATAAATTTGTTACAGTCTATATAGTCACATTCTGTTTTGTATGTCGTAGTGCAGTTACGCCGCACTATGAATAACGTTAATATTTATTTAACAAGTTATTCGAATATCGGAGCACCGTGCTACTGTCCGATTTGCGCACACATGTGTTAACAATTCATATTGTCATGTATTAATAATATTGCACCATACAAAATTATGCACTGAACCGCTGTATAGTGTTCCATAGAAGTGAGTATATATTTATACATACGTACACACATATATACATATATACATATATATATATATATATATATATATATATA